ATTGCAGGCATTAGATTCGAGGTTACTAAATGTTCAGGGGCAGCTTCTTTACTATCTAACAGGGTGACTTAACTTGCTTATGTTATTTCAAACACAATCTGAAGGTTGATTTTTTTTCCTCCCTTTTTCTTCCTCCTACACTCTTTGATATACTTTTGCATTTGCTTAGTAATTACTTGGTCTACTTTCTTTATTATGGTTCATTTTCTCTGGTGACATTTATTAAGCCTTAAGAACACTTCTGTCTATAGCAGTCCCTTTAAAATATACTGTAGAGATGGTTTGTGGGATGTAAATTTCCCCAACTTTTGTTTTTCTGGAAATTCTTTAATCCCTGCTTCAAATTTAAATTGTAATTTTGTTGGGTAGAGGATTCTTGGTTGGAGGTCACTGTGTTTCATTGCATTAAATATATTATCCCACTCCCTTCTGGACTGTAAGGTTTCTCCTGAAAAGTCAGATGATAGCCTGATGGGTTTTCCTTTATAGGTGATCTTTTTCTCTTTCTGGGTGATTTTAATACTCTGTTCTTATCCTTGATCTTTGCCATTTTAATTATTATATGTCTTCCTACAGTCCCTTGTGTTGGGGTATCTGTGTACTTCCATGTCCTGAAAGACTATCTCCTTCCCCAGATTGGGGATGTTTGCAGCAATTATTTCCTCAGAGAGACTTTCTATCTCTCTTGTCTCTTCTTCTGGTACCCCTATTATATGAATATTGTTCCATTTGGATTGGTTGCACAGTTCTCTTTATTCCTTTATTCCTAGAGATCGATTTTTCTCTGTGTGCCTCAGCTTCTTTATATTCCTGTTCTTTAATTTGTTTTATTTACCATCTCCTCTGTGCCATCTAATCTGCTTTTAAATCCCTCCATTGTATGTTTTATTTCAGAGCGTTATTTTCCATAAATTCCTATCTCTTTATTGAGATCCTCCCTGGGATCTCGAATATTTTTTGTAGTTCCATGAGCATGTTTATAATTTTTATTTTGAAATTTATGAAGAAGATTGTTGATTTCATTTTTACTTAGCTCTCTTTGAGGTGTTTGAGGGATTTTGGTTTGTACAAGATTCTTTTGCCGTTTCATATTTCTAGTGATTACTATGGAATAGTAGCTTTGTGTAGGTGGCACCTTCTAGTGCCCAGAATTTCTAATCTCTGGAGCTGTCCAGCACTTGGAGTGACAGTGGGGGTTGCAGGTGAGCAGCGCTGGTAACTGCCAGGAGGAAAGAGCTCTTTTCTGTTTCCTGTTTGCAGTGCCTGCCTCCACTGCCAGGTCCAATGGGCCGACCATGCAGGGGAGAAGTCTCTGCTTAACACCCTTGTAGTTGCCGAGGCGGAACCACCCTCTGGCTGGCATGGTGTGGCAGGGGCAGCAGGTGAGCAGACTTGTGCCTGTTGGGAGGAAGGAGTGGCAGGTTTTGTATCATAGTGGGGGGCCTTGGCACTCTGTTTTCAGCCAAGTGGATGGAGTGTCTGAAGCTCCTGAAAGTTCCCAACCTGCAGGGCTGAGTGTGCCTGGATGGTTTTGTTCACCTGTCCTTTCTCCTGAGCAGCAAGTTCTGTGTAATCTTTGCCCCTTTAGCACCCCTTTCGCTTTTGGGAAGTCTTTCAAAGTACTGCTTTTCTTTTGTCCCTCAGTGGCCAGTTGTGGGTACCTGTTCTCCACAAATGGCTGGAATCTCAGTCTCTCTGATTATTCTGCCTAGTTTGCTTCCCATGCCCACTAATCTCCAGAGCACCATGTAGTGTGGGTTTGTGCTCCGCATGCAGATCTCCAGGGCTGGCTGTTCAGCAGTCCTGGGCTTCTGCTTCCTCTCCACCCCATTTCTCTTCCTCCCACCTCTGAGCTGGTGTGGGAGGAGGGCTTGGGATTGCACCAGATTGCTGCTTTGCTCCTTTGCTCCATTACCCTTTTCTCTGAGGTCTTCTCTTTTCCCCAGTTGTAGGCCATCTGTTGCAGTCTTCTTTTGGATCACTCTTTCAGGATTAGTTGTATTTGCTGTATTTTTGTGTTGTATGTGGGTTTGGGAGGAGATTTCTGCCTCACTTCTTACACCACCATCTTTTTTCACCTCTCTGATGTTTGTTTTTATTTGATGGGATATGAGGACGTTAAAAAACTATAATGTTTGTATCTAGAATACATAAAGAACTATTTTATTTAATTTTACAATAACAAATAACCCAATTGAAAAATGAGCCAAGGATCTGAATAGACACTTCTTCAAAAGAGATACACAAATAACCAATAGGAACATGAGAAGATGCTCAGTATTATTAGTCATTGGGGAAGTGCAAATCGAAACCATAGTTTGATAACCACTTCACACACACCATGATTATTACAGTAAAAAATGCTGATGTGTAGAAATGTTTATACGCTGCTGGAGGTAGTCTACAATGGTGCAGCAGTTTTGAAAACAGTCTGGCGTTTCCTCAGAAGGCTAAACAGAGTTACCATATGATTTGAGAGTTTCACTCCAAGGTATATGTCCAAGAGAAATGAAAACATATCTATACAAAAAAATCATATACAGATGTTCATAGCAACCCTATTCATGTAATAGCCAAAAAATAGAAATGACCCAAAGACTCATTAACTAATATAAATGGATAAACAAAATGTGGTGTGTCCATTCGATGGAGTATCATTTGGCAATTAAAAAATGTAGTATAGTGCATGGTATAACATGGATGAACCTTGAAAACTGTATGCTAGATGAAAGAAACTAATATCTACTACATTTTGTATAATTTTGGTTATATGGGATGTCCAGAATGAGTGGTTGCCTAAAGCTGGGTGGTGGGTAAAAATATTGGGGAAATAATAAATAATGGTTAATGGTGGTGAAAATACTCTCTTTTAAGGTGTTAAAAATGTTTTAAAATGTATTACGGTGATGGTTGCATAGCTCTTAATAGACTGAAAGCCACTGAGTTGTACACTTTAAATGAGTGAATTCTATTGTATGTGAATTACATTTTAATAAAACTTTTCAAAAAGAAAAACCTATTACTGCTGCCATCTTCCTAGAATCCTTTCTGCATCTTTCCTTTTCATGATTTTATAGTGGATATTTTTAGATATATAGCAAAACTGAGAGAATCTTAAAGTATCATTCCTGTCACTTAGGTTATACTGATTACATATACTGTACTTGTTTTTGTTGTACATCCATTCATCTATCCATCTTTCTATCTACCCGTCAGTTTTATTGTTTGATACATTTCAACGTAAGTTGTCGGCATCTATCTATGCACTTCTCTTAAAATACTACACTGTATATTGACCAGAGTTTGGTTTTTTTATAGGGTTTTTAAAAGTATGTTTTTATATAGTAACATATTCAAGTTTTAAGTGTTCATTTGCTGAGTTTTGAGGGATGCATATGCATCTTAGTGACCGTGCTCTTACTGTGGGAGAGACTACCATCTTGGGAAAGTTGCCTCAGGCTTCCATCCCCAGGAACAGCCAGTGATAGGATTTTTCATTTTTAGGGGCCATAGATTAAATTTGACCATTATGGAACTTCTCATAAATACAGTCATACAGTATGTAATCTTTTGTGTAAGGCTTCTTTTGCTCAACATAAAAGTCGGGATTCATTTAGTTGTTGCATATATCATTTGTCCCTTCTTGTGTATTGCTGACTAGTATGCCATTATAGGTTTATTGTTTTGTTCCATTGATGAACAGTGGCTCTTTCCAGTTTTTTGCTTTCAAGAATTGAACTGTCATTTCAGAACTCTTACCAACATGTAAGAATTTTGGTTGCTGCACATCCTCACCAGTGTTGGTTATTAGTGGTCTTGAATTTAGGTCATTCTGGTGGGTGTATTCTGTACCTCTGCTGTTTTTATTGAGATGTAATTTTTAAAGTCACACTTTTAAGTATTGTATAACTCAGTAGTTTTTAGCATAGTCACATAATTGTGCAGCCATCACTGCAACCCAATTTTAGAATATTTTCATCACCTCATAAAACTAAATGAACTTTCAATTTGAAAAGATATGGAGGAACCTAAAATGCGTATTTCTAAGCCAAATAAACCAATCTGAAAAGGCTACTAATTTCAACTAGATGAAGCAAAACTGTGGAGACAGTAAAAAGATCAGTGGTTGGCAGGGGCTCATGGGGAGGGAGGGATGGATTAGGCGGAACACAGGATTTTAGGGCAGCAACCCTGTAATACATGATGCTGTAATGGTGGATGCTTATCATTATACATGTGCAAAACCTGTAGAACCCAAACATGTATCAATATTAGCTCATCATTTGTTAGAAATGTGTCAGTAATTAATGCAAGATATTGATAGGGGAGCTGGGTGGATGAGAGGTGTGTAGGAATTCTCTGTACATTCTATTTATTTCTCTGTAAACCTAAAACCGATCTGAAAAATAGACTGTATTAAAGGAAAACAAAAAGAAATTGTACCCATTAGCTGCCTTTCACTATCTCTTCTTCCTCCTCCCAAGCCTGGCAGCCATTAATATACTCATGTTTCTCTGGATTTTACCTATTCTGATAACATCTATAATATGTGTTGTTTTTTGATTGGCTTTTTAAAATCTAGCATAATGTTTTACTGTGATAACTTTATTATCAATTAATCCATGTTCTGACATTTGTCAGTCCCTTTTATTGCATTCATTCCTTTTTGTTGCTGAATGTACTTGATGAGCATTAGGGTTTTTCCACACTTTTGGTTAAGAATAATGCTGCTGTGAACATTCATGGGCAAGTTTATTGTGATTATATGTTTTCAGTTCTCTTGGATATGTAGAATTGTTGACTCATAAAAACATTTTTTAACGTTTTGAAGAGTACCTGAACTTTTCAAAGTGGCCATATTTTACACTCTGACCAGGAATGTGTGAGGAATTCAGTTTTGCTGCATCCTTGCCAATACTTGCTGTTTTGTCTTTTTGATTACAGCCATTTATTCCACATAAAAATGGAATGTGATTTAACTACTTATTTTCTTCTCATAGAGGCAAATTTCTGGAGATGTGCGATGATCTCTTAGCTAGAGTGGAACCACCACTTCGTAGTGTTTTGGAACAAGCCAGTAAGTATTTTTGTGATTAACTTGTGTATTAGACTCCTTGGAAAATATTATTTATTTAGTTACACAATTTTTCATTGTATGAACTACTTCAGTGCTATATTAATCTTCTTTTTATCTATATCTTCCGTCTGGAACACTCCCCTCTCCCCCTGCCCCATTAATCTTTTGATGATAAAATCCAGAGAAATCTACTAATTTTCCCAAGAAACCTAATTCAGACTCTGAGGTGGATATAAACATGTTATTTCATGGTGGTTATAAATTGTCTTTTGCTATGCTGTGTAGTAGTCTTGCAGGCTTTTCTGTCAGTGAATCCTTTGCAGAATGATAAATACAGCAGAGGGTGGATATGATACCACGTAGTTGAATGGGATGCTTTAATTTTATCTTAGGCTAAATAAATGGTGGAATGTTTTTTTAATTTGTATTTTTTCTACTTGAAGTATAAATTTTGATGCACAGTATTATATTAGTTTCAAGTATGCAACACAGTGGTTCAGCAGTTATCCACATTATTAAGTCCTCACCCCAATTAGTGCATTTACTATCTGTCAATCTAGAAAGATGTTACAGAACCATTGGCTATATTCTCCATGGTGTACTTCCATCCCAGTGACCAATTTGTATTCTCATTGAGCTTTTTGTGGGTAGAAGTTTGATTTAGGAATATATTACTAATTTTCCCAAAATCTTCAACTAGCATTTACTTGGAGACCACTGTTGTGTTGGGTGTTCTTTCAGAGTCTTGGGATTTATTGTCATCTTAACACAGGCTCAACTTGTAAATCAGAGTGATTATGGCATAAAGAATGAACATGTTCTTTCCATACTGGGACAGCCCATTTTTCAAATAGCCCTCACAACAGATTGTTAGAGTTTGTTGCGTAAAACACGACCTGGAAACCAGGTGGTATTAAGAAGTACTTTATGAGTGACAGCAGAGCCTTGGGTGTACCTTCTTCCTTATGATGGGAGGAGACTAAACCTGTGTTCGAATCTGGACTGGTTGGAGTGCTGCAGTGGCTAAGTGTGCTTCTAAATACCCCTTTTTCTTTCATACCCTGTTGGGGTAACCCAGGAGTTTGAGGCCCTCTTATTTTGCTTTATGGCTGGCTTAACTACTGAAGTTTTAGCAGTTCTCTGTGGAGGGCCTGTATGCTGCAGGACCTTGGGTATTCTTGGCTGCTCCCATTATTTTGAGCAGCAAGATGCACATTTTTCCAGATGCGGCATACCTGTGCACAAGTGTGCGTGTACATGCATGTTGTGGAGGGGCTAAAGAAATGGTGGGGTTTTGTTAGCATTTGAGTTATTTTGTTGTGATAAGATGTTCAGTTTCTCTAATTTCATTGTAAAATACTAATTTAAAGGTTCTCTTTTCTAATTATTTAAGAGTTAAAGAAAGAAGATATTTATGCAGTGGAGATAGTTGGTGGTGCAACACGAATCCCTGCAGTGAAAGAGAAGATCAGCAAATTTTTTGGTAAAGAACTTAGTACAACGTTAAATGCTGATGAAGCTGTCACTCGAGGCTGTGCATTGCAGGTGAGTTTTTTTTCACAGGTGGCCATCTGGTCATTGTAACAAGATCGCAGTGGCTTTATGTATTTGACTAATAATCTGAAATTAGTTCAGGTTGATCTCAAGGTCTGAAGTTCTGAAACTTGTTATAAAATGGATATCAGGTTGGCATTCATAGATGGAATGTACCCTATAATGTGCAATAAGATGAATTCATTTACTAGAAACATAAGCCTGAAATGCTACTAGAATTTGGCATATTATCTATTATTTACATATAATATTGTACGTAATTAAAGGTTGGGGTTAAATGGAAAAATGGCCAAGAAGAGCTAGATTTTATAGGTAGTTTGACAAATGGTAGAAGCTTCTGAAACTGCTTATACAGACAGCATTAAACTATTAATGTAAATATTTAAAGCCATTGGTGATGGTCATATGAAGTCATTATTTATAGGTCTTGTGATATCATTCATAATGTCTGTACTTTTTTCAAAAGGAATTTTAAATTATTATTCTAGTGTGCAATCTTATCACCTGCTTTCAAAGTCAGAGAATTTTCAATCACTGATGTGTTACCATATCCAATATCTCTGAGATGGAATTCTCCAGCTGAAGAAGGCTCAAGGTAGCTATGCTTATTAATCATTTTATACTTAAAGTTAATTCTGTTAAGTTTGAGTAAAGTATTTTCTTCCATTTCAACTTGTACATTTTATATAAGTTTGTAGATATCTCTAGCATTTTGTTACAGTGCATGAAGGAAAGTGATTAGTCATCAGAATAAATTTGTGTTCTTACATAGTATCCTATACTTGATCCTCCTGAAAGAATTGGTGTCTTTTATGTGCTGATTGAACTGTATTCCCTTTCTAAAAAACTGACTTTATATATGTATATATTGCCCCCGTTTTGCAAAATTCTTATAATCTGGAAATGATGCTGGTTGAGAAGAGTAACTAGAGCTATACAACAATTACAAACCTAGGATATATGGAAAAGTATTAGGATATTCTAAATTTGTGTGTGTTGTCTTTTTCCTCCACTCAGTGACTGTGAAGTCTTTTCAAAAAATCATGCTGCTCCTTTCTCTAAAGTACTCACATTTTATAGAAAGGAACCATTCACTCTTGAGGCATATTATAGCTCTCCTCAGGATGTGCCCTATCCAGACCCCGCAATAGGTAAGTAGAGTTGGGAATTACAAAAAGGAAGTTATGTGTACTTGGGAGAACTGGGATAGCAGAGCAAGTACAATATCCCAAAATGTGGGTATTATAGATCAGAAAAAATCCCCTTCTTCCAGTCCTGTTACCAGTTCAGAACCAGCAGGATGGTCATTATTTAATTGGATATCCTGTTGTGTGGTCAGTATTTCTTGGTTAATGCACATTGCGGGTGTGGTATACGTTCTGCATAATGTGCTAAATACTGAAAGGAGTTAAAGAAATGCAATTCTAAACCTGACATACAAGGTAGATGTGCACAGCAAATCATTAGGAAATGTGGTACCAGTGTCATAGGTTATGGAGCTGTGCTGGCTAGAGTCTTCATAGACTTTGAGAAACTCATAATCTGGGAATCATGCCCGTTGAGGAGAGTGAAACTAGAGTCACATGGTAATTACCGGAATATGTACATGGGTAAAGTATTAGGAATATTCTGAAAGGCACTTAGAAGTTGTGGAAAGTTAGCTTACTCTGCTTCCCTCATTTGTAAAACAGGAATGAGGATAATAATTCTTACTAATACTTTGCAGAATTTTGTGTATTAAAAAACAAGGAAAGCCCTGATAATAGTAACTGATTCTAGAAAGGATGAATTCTTGGTGAGTGACGGAAGCAGTATGGAATCATTGGGGGGGCGGTTTTCAGGAAAGGAGGAGGTGACATACCTGTTTTAGGACTTTAACTGGCAAAGCACATAAAGATGAATTGGAATAAGGGACTGCAGGGAAGGAACTGGTTGGAGGTTTGAGAGATGGTTGGGTCCTTCACTGGGACAAGATCATAAGAATTCGGCTATATGGTAAATGAGGAAAGGGAAATCTGATGATGTAGTAAGAGTCTAAGAGTACTTACTTCACTTATTTGAACTGTCATCTTACTGACCTGTCGCTGGGAAATTGACATAGTCTGCCAGTATGGGCATATATTTTTGTTAGAATTCATCCTCTGAGGTTACATTTTTTCTTTGTCTATCATACGCCTGTAGCTCAGTTTTTAGTTCAGAAAGTCACTCCTCAGTCTGATGGCTCCAGTTCAAAAGTGAAAGTCAAGGTCCGAGTAAATGTCCACGGCATCTTCAGTGTGTCCAGTGCCTCTCTAGTGGAAGTGCACAAGTTTGAAGAAAATGAGGAGCCGATGGAAACAGATCAGAATGCAAAGGAGGAAGAGGTAATCTGGACACCTGACACCTTTTAGACCATTTGTGATGGCTGAGATGACTTCTCTAGAAATTTTAGCAAACAGACTGGGTAACAAGGAAGGAATATCGTGACAAAGCTGCTGAGTGGGTTTGCATGTGTCCCCAGCATGGGCCAACTAGCAGAAGGTCTGGACACAGAATTTATATAGAAATGGAACATAGTTGGCATCCTCCTTCAGACCACATACTTCTCAACTTGAGTTATTATTCTTTCTGATGACTGAAGAATGCCTGAGTCTCAGTTGATAATTTTTACAGGATAGATTTACACTCATTTGTGGGCACATGCACTGAGTCTTGTCCTTGTGCATCAAGATTGAGGCTTTAAGAAACTACAGATGTTTGAGTCTCAGTCTCACAGATGTTTTGAGTTGGACTGGGCTAGGGTCCACATATCAGTAGTTAAAAAAATCTCCAAGGTCATTCTGATGTGCTGAAGGCATCAAAAACCAGTGATTTAGGTCTCCACAAACTTCTCACTGATTCAGGGTCTCTACAGACTTCTCTACTACTGTTGTCTGCCTTTGGTCTTTGTTTTTTAATTAAAATGTCATTTATTCACAATCTTACGGGGTTTCAAATACACAACACAGTGGTTCAATTTAAACCCACGTTACCAAGTCCTCACCCTCCCCATTGTGGGGAAGGGCTTGGGCCCTGCCAGGTCACGGCTTTGGTATGATACCCTGTTCTGTGAGGTCTGTTCTTTTCTCCAGGTGTATGCAGTGTGGTGCAGTCTTTCCTGTTGCCCTTTCAGGATTAGTTGTATTAAATTATATTTTCGTATTATTTGTGGTTTTAGGAGGAGGCTTCTGTTTCACCTCTCATGCCGCCATCTTTAATCCATGGTAGCTTTTTTTCCCTCATTGATTCTTTCTATTTAAATTTATTTCTGCTCTGATGTTTTTTTATGCTCCTTCTTCTACCTACTGACTTTGGGCTTCATTTGTTCTTTTTGTAGTTTCTTTAATTGTGAGTTTAGACTCTTTATCTGGGACTATTGTTCTTTCTTGAGGTAAGCCTGTGTTTGCTATATACTTTCCTCTTAGAATGTCCTTTGCTACATCTCACAGGTTTTGGGCTGTTGAGTTGTTTTTTCCATTTGTCTCCATATATTGCTTGGTATCTGTTGTAATTTTGTCATTGGTGCGTGGATTCTTTAGAAGCATGTTGTTACCCTCCATGTGTTTGTAGCCTTTCTGGTTTCATACCATTGTGGTCAGAGAGGCTGCTTGATACAATTTTAATCTTTTTGAATTGATTGAAGCTCTTTTTGTGGCCTAGTATGTGATCTGTTCTGGAAAGCATTCCATGTACACTTCAGAAGAATGTGTATCCTGCTGCCTTTGGGTGGAGTGTTCTGTAGATGTCTGTTAGGTCAAATCTAGTGAATTGTTCAGTGCCTGTTTCCTTATTTTCTGTCTGGTTGATCTGTCTATTGATGTGAGTGGTGTGTTAAAGTCTCATACAATGAGTGTGTTGCAGTCTGTTTCCCCCTTTAATTCTGTTAGTCTTTGTTTTACATATTTAGGTGCTCCTATGTTGGGTTCATAGGTATTTATAATGGTTGTATCCTTTTGTTGGACTGACCCCTTTATCATTATGAAATGTCCTTTATCTCTTGTTAGTTTGTTTTGAAATCTATTTTGTCTGATACAAGTACTGCCTCTCCTGCCTTTCTCCCCCTATTACTTATACAAACTATCCTTTTCCATCCTTCACTTTTAGTCTGTGTAGGTCCTTGGGTCTGAGATGAGTCTCTTGTAGGCAGCATATAGCTGTGTCTTGTTTTTTTTTTTTTATCCATTCTGTCACTCTGTTTTGATTGGTGCATTCAGTCCATTTACATTCAAGGTGATTATTGATAGATATGTACTTATTGCCACTGTAGCTTTAGATTTGTGGTTACCAAAGGTTGAAGGCTTAATATCTAACAGTCTATCTTAAATCGCTAATTATTCTATTTGAAACACAATCTAAAGGTACTTTTTTTCTTAACCCCTTCTTTCTCCTCCTCCACACTTTATATATTAGGTGTCATATTGTGCACTTTTTGTGTATCCCTTGACTGATTTTGTGAGTAGTTGATTTAATTTCGTACTTGCTTGATAATTAATTGGTCTTCTGCTTTTACTGTGAGTTTATTTTCTCTGGTGATAGCTGTTTAGCCTTAGGAACATTTCCATCTAGATGGGTCCCTTTAACATATTCTGTAGGGCTGGCTTAGTGGTGGTGAATTCCTTCAACTTTTATCAAAAATTGTTTGACCACTGCTTCAAATTTAAATGATAATCTTGCCAGGCAGACGATTCTTGGTCAGAGGTCCTTCTGTTTCATTATATTAAATATATCATGGCACTCCCTCTGGCCTTTAAGGTGTCTGTTGAGAAGTCTGCTGATAGTCTGATGGGCTTTCCTTTATAAGTAATCTTTTTTCTCTCTCTGGTTGCTTTGAATACTCTTTCTTTGTCCTTGATCTTTGCCATTTTAATTATTATATGTCTTGGTGGCGTCTTCCTAGGGTTTCCTTTGTTAGGGACTCTGAACTTCCATGACCTGAGTGTCTGTTTCCTTTCCCAGTTTGGGGATGTTTTCAACAATTACTTCCTCAAAAAGGCTTTCTATCCCTTTTTCTCTCTCTTCTTCTGGTATCCCTATTATGCAAATATTGTTTCGTTTGGATTGGTCACAGAGCTCTTCTATTACTCTTGTTCCTAGAGATCCTTTTTCTCTTGGTTTTTTGGCTTCATTGTTTTCTTGCTCCCTAATTTCCAGATGATTTACAACTTCTTCAGCCTGTGAAAGCGTGCTGTTATATCTCTCCATTGTATGTTTCATTTCAGTTACTGTGTTCTTCAGCTCTGAGTGACTCCTTTGGAGGTTGTCTGTCTTTTGAGGTCCTCCCTGAGATTTTGATTACTTTTCTGTAAATCTGTCAGCATGTTCATAACTTTTCTTTTGAAGTCTTTACCAAGAAAGTTGGTGATTTCAGTTTCACTCAGCCCTCTGCCCTCTTTGTCATGTTTTGTCTTGTAGTTTTGTTTGGAACCAATTCCTCTGCCTCTTCATTCTTTTCTAGTGTTTCCTATGGAACACCAGGTTTATGGAGGATGGGCCCTCTAGGACCCAGAAGCTCAGTTCCCTTCGTGGGATCCCCAGCTGTTGGTGTGCAGTGGGTGGGGCACCTTTCTGTCTGGTTGTAGTGATTTGATGTCATGTTGGCTGTGTGGGCTGTCAGCTGATGGCCTGCACGGGGAGAATACTCGCGGCTGCTGCTGGAGTTACTGTGTGCAGAGCCACCCTCCTCCCAGCCAGCAGCAATGGTGGGGACTGCAGGTGAGCAAGGCAAGCAGGACTGGAGCCTGCTGGGAGGAATGGCTCCCAACGCTGGCTCCTGCAGTACTTCCCCTGCTTGGCTGAGACAGGGCCAAGAAAGCTCGGAGGGTCTTCCTGTGCCTTTATGGCTGCCACGCCTGTGTCCACTGCTGGGTCAGGTGGGCCGTGTGCACAGGGAGGAGACTCAGTGCTGTGCCACTGGAGCTGCTGTGGCTGGAAGCACCCGGCTTGCAGCAATGGTGGGAGCAGCAGGCGAGCAGGACAGGTGCCTGCTGGGAGGAAGGAGTTCCCGGGGCTGCCTTCTGTAGGCAGTTCCCTGGCTATCTCTGACCAGAGCAGTGTGTAACTCTTGTCCCCCCGGTGCCCCTCTCACTGCTGGGAAGTCTTTCAAATTGCCCACTTTCCTTTTGTCTCAGTGGCCGGCAGTGTTTACCTGTTCTCTGTAAGTGGCTGGAATCTCTGCCCCACTGAGTGTTCTGTCTTTGTTGTCCAGCACCATGTAACATGGGTTCGCGTTCCTGGAGCAGGTCTCCAGGGGTGGGGTTCGGCAGTCCTGGGCCACTACTCCCTGCCTGTTCCATTCCTCTTCCTCCCACGTGTGGGCTGGGTGGGGGAGGGCTTGGGTCCTTCTGGATCATGGCTTTGCCACGTCACCCTTCTCTGTGAGGTCTTGTCTTCTTCCTCAGATGGAGGTAATCCGTTCTGCAGTCTTCAGGTCATTTTCAGGTTTAGTTTTATTTGCTGTGTTTTTGTGTTCTATGTGATTTTGAGAGGTTTCTGCCTTGCCTTCTTTTTCCCAGAATCCAGTTTTCTTTTAACAGAGTTCTCAACGTGCTCATCTCCCCTAATGCATGCAGTCAGTGGTTGTACTTTAGAGGTTGAAAGAGCTGATTTAAAGAAGTAGTTTTATTGAAATATAGTTGATGTACATCTGAAACCAATATGATAATGTATAACATAGTGACTATATGTATTACTACATGCTCACCATAATGAATGTAGTTGCCATGTCACTATATAAGGATATTATAATACTGGCTATATTCCCTATACTGTACTTGCATTGCTGTGACTAATTTATTTATAATTTGAAGTTTGTACCTCTGTCTCCTTTACCTGTTTCATCCACCCCCATCCATCTGTTTTGTTTAGATTTTACATACAAGTAAAATCATACTGTATCTGATTTATTTCACTTAGCATAATACCCTGTAGGTGCATCCATGTTGTAAATGGCAAGATTTCACTCTTTTTCAGGGCTAAGTAATATTCTCTTGTATTTGTACTACATCTTCTTTACCATTCATCTGTCAGTGGACACAGGTTGCTTCCATATCTTGCCTACTGTAAATAATGCAATAAACATAGTGGTGTATATACTTTCTCAAATTAGTGGTTTTGTTGTCTCCAGGTAAATTCCCACAAGTGGAATTGTTGGGTTGTATGGCATTCCTATTTTTAGTATTTTGAGAACTTCCAATACTGCTTTCCATAGTGGCTGTACCAGTTTACATTCCTATGAACAGTGTATAAGGGTTCCCTGAAAAGGCTGATTTAAAAACTGCTTGAAAAATTTAAGACGTAGGAGAGAAATTTGTTCATGAGGAAGCTTGGGAGAAATGTGTTTTCTCTTCAGGTTACACTATATTGAATATGGCTGCATGGTGTGCTGTGAATACTGCTGTGGCCTACCAAGGAGTCCCGCAGCTGCTTGCTTGTGTAAGAGCAGGACAGGGCATTTGTTCCTCCGTTACACAGCGGTCCAGAGGACTTTGGTGTTGTGGTGACATATGCATCATAATTGGGATTTGAGTCTAGGTCTTCTGATTTCTGGTAGTTGAGCAGGAATTCCATACCATGTGATTTTTGCCAACATGTCATGTAGATTGCTTAGTCTTTCACTAGTATTTCCTAGTTTCAGGTTTTGATGTGACCTGTTTTTCAGAAGATGCAAGTGGACCAAGAGGAACCACATGCTGAAGAGCAGCAGCAGACACCAGAAAATAAGGCAGAGTCCGAGGAGATGGAGGTATAAGTTGTGGTTGAGATATGTATGATCTGCAGTGCTTCCTTTATGGGTGTGGTTGGGATACCAGGCCTTAGAATGTGGCTATATTAGGAATTCTCCATCTATTGAATAATTTTAAAGCAAGGTGTGTTTAGCAAGAGGATCTTTCAACTCTGGTTGATACCTGGGAAGAAACCATTTAAACTCTAGTTACTAGGCTAGTGACTGGTTCATGCTGGTTTCTGAACTGCTGTTACTATTAGCTTTTCTATCTGTAATTCATTCTTTCCTGGAAAACAATGAAACATCATTTTTCCAAATTCTGTCAATTCTCTGAAACTTGTCTTTTTGCCAAAAGATGTTTTAAATAATAATATTTTTAAAAATAGTGTGAATAATTTATTTATCCTAACCATTTATATAAATGAATATATAACATTTTGAATACAACCTGCTATTTGCGTTTTGGGTATTCAAGTATTCTTGTTTAAATTTGTCACTGATTGTGGCATTTAAAAAAATAGGCATAGCCTTTAGGTAGCATAAACCTGTGAGTTATCTTCATGTCCATCAACAAATTTTAATTATTTTCCTTTAGCTGTGAAAATAATTGTAAACAAAAAAATAATGGACAGAAAAAAGGAAAGGTCTACTTACAGTCCTTTTCCAGGTGGAAAACCATTCATGTTTTTAGTTGGGGTGGGTGCATGAATGGGAGAGAGAAGCATTTACTCTCTGTGTTTGTGTAAGGTTGGGGAGGAGAGAGACGTCGTCCCCCTGCTGCCCCACCCTCCCCATATGCTGTGGAGCTGTGGGAAATGTTTGTTACTGAGACTTCCTCCGTAAGGTGGCTCAGAAACTGGGGTCTTTTACCATACTGTTTCTATGGGAAATGAAATGATACATATATTTCAGCAACTGATTAAAGTTACTTGGAAATGACTTTGAAATTATAGAAAAGGTTCTAGATGAATTGAAAGTTTAAGATAAAAAACAATAACAACAAAAAACAACTGGGATGAATATTTTCCTAATCTGTGGATCAGGAAGGGCTTTCAAAGCATAAAGGCAATGATGAAAGTAATCGCAAGGGAAAAGATGGATTGGTTCAACAATAAAAACAGCATTTGTATAAATAAAACAGTGTGAAATCGGAAAAAAGTAGAAGAGCCAATCATTTGGGGAAAAAATCACTAAAATCCTAAGAGTTGGGAAATGAAATATGACTAGGCAAATTAAAGAAATAAGAGTGGCCTGTGTGTGAAAAAAGGTTATTGCCAAAATAAAACAATAGTAAGATGATGGTCAATGAATTCCTGTTTGTGCAATGGATTCTCTCTATGTGAGAATGTTAATAGGTGTAGACATTCTAGAAATCATATTGATAATGTTTCTGATCAATAAAATTGCATGTCCTTGCACCAGTATTTTCATATGCATATGTATATTTAGATAGGAGTGGGAGAAAATTAGAGAAGATCTGAGAGTGATGGGAGGTCTGTGTGTGTGCACATGCAGTTCAGGGGTAGTAAGTACATTCACACTGTGGTGCAGCCCGTCTCTGGAAGTCTTCCAGCTTGCTGAACTGAAACTGTATTCATTATACAGCAGTTCCCCATTTCTCTATTCCCTCTTCCCCCCCCCCGCCCCTGGCAACAGTGGTTCTGTCTCTATGGATTGGGCTACCATAAAGTACTTACATTATTTTTAACTTCATATTTTATGTGATTTTAAAATAATAAAGTATATTATTATAAGAAATATCCCTAGGTTATTTAAATGATCAAAAAATAAAGTTAATAAAAAAGCAAATGCAGTTTTAGAAATGGGACCCATCTGGCAATTTAAGGTAGTCTGCATATGTTTATTCTTAATGGTTTCATTATTTTAGACCTCTCAAGCTGGATCAAAAGACAAAAAGGTGGACCAACCACCTCAAGCCAAGAAGGCAAAAGTGAAGACCAGTACCGTTGACCTGCCAATTGAGAATCAGCTATTATGGCAGATAGACCGAGAGATGCTCAACCTGTACATTGAGAATGAGGTGGTTATTTCAATTATCTTAGAACAATAAGCTAACAAATTAATGTGACCATAGTGTTCAAATTCTGTGTTTAGTGACCTCCATGCTTTTTTGGTTGTTTGGAATTTGAGAAAATAATTGTAGATTTTTGGGTACTGCAAGGGCGTGAGTTTTAACAGGTCCCATGTAATGTCAAATCTTCCATGGTGACATTGTGTCTGTATTGCTAGAAGGTCTGTAATGAGATCTGTGACATTATGTTCTTGGTTTAGGGGAGTTGTTCACGTGTGGGTGTGTGAGTATGTTTGTTCACCAGAGAGGGGCTATTTGAGGTGGTGGGTCATGGAAGTTGATCAGTAGGAGAAATCACATAGCACTGATAGTAGCACTATTTGTTCATTAGTTCCTTCTCCTTTTGCCTGGGCCATATGTAACTTGTTTTGGTGAGTGATTGAAGGTTTGGGTCCCTGGAGCACAATTAATAAATTAATTATTGTCTGTCTGGTTTCTTACCATGTTATCCGATGGATCTTAGGGTTTTGTTTTACAGAACCGTAAGCATTTATATGAACCATATGAACAATGTGACTTTTCTTGGTATTGTAATGCATTAGAATATACCACCTTGTGACATTAAGCTAGTAGTTTCTTAAAGTTTCACTTGTCTTCAATTATTTTCTTTATTTTTGCTTTTGAGTTTCTGAATCTTGATATTTCTATTGCTCTTTTTTCTAAGCACACCCACAAAGCTCTCACTTGATCTTCACAATTTACCGAGGACTAATGCTTCCAGCTTTCCTTTCTTGAATGATGCGCAGAACTAAAAGGATCTGGGGAAGAAGGATTCTTTTTATAATCTTAGTACTTAATATTTAAGAAGAAATGGCCTACTTTTCTGAATGTCTAATATGCCATTCTCAGGGTAAGATGATCATGCAGGATAAACTGGAGAAGGAGAGGAATGATGCTAAGAACGCAGTAGAGGAATATGTGTACGAAATGAGAGACAAGCTTAGTGGCGAATATGATAAGTTTGTGAGCGAAGATGTAAGTATGCACCACAGTGTTGTGCCTATCTCTTACGTGTCTTCTGGGAGCATCCTTAAATGTGTTAGAAGGGAAGTTTGCGTATATAGGTATACAGTAAAATGATTAAAAGTGTGCTTTTTTAGGAGAAAAGATTTATATGATTTTATATTGCATTTCTTTATTAGTGGGGTGTTTCCCAAAAGTTAGTCTTTGCACATCACTTTTTGATAAATTTGCATGCTATTATTTTCATAGTATTTATCTTTAAGTTGGCCCACTTTTCCACAAAGTTTAACTTATCCTTTTATTCAGGTGTACTTGACCTATATAACATTATGTTAGTTTCACGTGTACAACATAATGATTCCGTTTTTGTATACTCTGGGAAATGATCATAATAAGTCTAAACCTATACACAGTTAACAAAAGTTTTTTTTTCTTGTGATGAGAACTTTTAAGATCTACTCTCTTGGCAACTTTCAAATAATGCAGTATAGGATTACTAACTATATAAATATACTTATTTTTAAATGCAGTTTTTAATTGTGAAATTTTCCAACATACCCAAATGTCCCCTACAACAGAGAGTAACATAATAACACCCCTTGAATTATCAAGGAAAACACATTTGCCAGTCTTATTTTCTGTTTTTCCCATTTTCCTACTATGTGTGTGTTTTAAAGCAAAAAATCGAGGTATATTGCAGTCTGTATCTCTGACTCCACTTGTCAGTCATCCAATTTTTGATTGCCCTAATTGGAATATTTTCTTCATCTTTAGGATCGTAACAGTTTTACCTTGAAACTAGAAGATACTGAAAATTGGTTATATGAGGATGGAGAAGACCAGCCAAAGCAAGTTTATGTTGATAAATTGGCTGAATTAAAAGTAAGTGATTCTTGAAAGCACTAAGTGTCCTGAACCCAGACTGTAATTTCCAAGGAGAATATCTGAAAATTGGGAGGAATTCTCATATCAGTAATGAAGATAGGCCGAAAGTAATTAAAAAACTGTATCCTCTATCACTTAGATTTGTTAGCTTTCTCACTTTTAGAACCTCATAGTTAACAGAAGGATTTTTCTGAAAATTGAATTTAGACTTAAAATGTTCACTGAATTGGAGATGGAATATATTCTTGGTGTCAAGAGGTTCAGAGACTAGCAAGATGTCTCAAAGGCACCTGCTGTGTTATTTGGACAAAGTACTGTATATAGTTTTGATTCTCGGTAGAGCAAAAAGTATCTGATTTTAAATTTAAATAATCTGATTGTTAACCTTTAGGGTTAAAAGTACAAAAAGAACTATCTTAAGTTTAGGTCTTGTGTTTGGAAAAGAATGCAGATGCTCAAGAGCAACTTTGGGCATTTCTCTGGATTAGTTTCTTGTCAGGCTGGGCCATTGGGACTGACCCTCTGGAATGGAATTGCTCAAGTGTAGTAGTGCCTGCAGTTTCCTGCATTCTGGAGAGAAGAGCAAGAGCCTCCAGGGAGGTCCTTCCTACTGAGTTTTTTGTTTCACTTTTTAATTGTGGACGATGTCAAAACACATGAAAGTGATCATAAAGAAAAAAATAATAGCTTCAACTGTTGTCAAGTTATGATCAGTTGTGTTTCATTTCTGCTCCCTCTCCCACTTCCAAACATTTATAGATGATTTCTAACTTCTTCTTTTCCAGCATTTATAGACAATTTCTAACTTTAAGCCTCTCTGTCCTTAAGCAAAGCCCAGTGTTGTGATTAGGGGAGCTGGAATTCCATCTCAGGTCTGACTCCAAAGTTTGGAAATATTTAACATTTTATATGTTAACTTGAAGCGAGTCCCAGTGAGTCCCTCCTGTTTGATATAACCAAAAAATATTTTAATATGCATTTACAAAAGAAAATGTAAATTTCAGCTGTACCATTATCACTAGTAAAAAAAAAATTAATAACACCATGAATTCAGTTTTCTAGTTCTTCACAAATTCTTTAGTTTCTTTGACTCATGATCCATATAAAGTCCATATAGTCTGTTGATGTCTCTTAAGTCTTTGTCTCTAGTTCTCCATCCATCATTTCTCTCCCCTTATTTAGTTGATGGAAAACATTTGTATGTTTTCCCCCCCAGTCTGGGTTTTGCTGATTTTCATTTCTATGTTTAATGTTATTTGGTGAAATGGCTGGTTAGATCTAGAGCCTTCATCAGATTCAGGTTTTAAGAAATTTTTTTGGCAGTTGCACTCTGTATTTAGTTCTGTAATTTTTGGTTGTCTCTCAACTGTGTTTTGAGAATTAGGACTCAGGTGACAAGTTGACGTGGCTCCGCATGAAACAGTATTGAGTTACATTCTCATAACTAGCCTGTGGATATTTTTCAGTGGGCTGAGGGAAATATTTAACATTTTATATGTAGCACATGGAGATAAAATGGACTTTAATCCATAATCAGTCTTAGTAATAGCAGGAACAGTACTCTGATAGTTTAAGCTGTCCTGTGAATAATTTGCATATTTTCTTTTCTGTTAAGAGTCTAGGTCAGCCTATTAAGATGCGATTCCAGGAATCTGAAGAAAGACCAAAATTATTTGAAGAACTAGGGAAACAAATTCAACAGTATATGAAAGTGATCAGCTCTTTCAAAAACAAGGTACCTTTTTCTCTTTCCTCCCTGTTGTTCTGGTAAAGTTTTGAGGCATATACACAGTAGTTTTTCTTCTTATTCTTTCTTTATTGTTTAATAATGTTCTCTTTTTGATTGTTAATATGTAATTGAATCTTACTAAGAACCTGGGATTCACTGCTGCTCTTTACTAGGTGGCATCTGGGATTGGACATTGCCTACTTCCCTTTTCTTGCTGTGAGGCGCTTCATGGGGGCCTAACCTGCTCCCTCCTGATCTTTCTGAGAACAGATCCGGCGTGTGATTCAGTTTGTTACACAGATGTAGGACTGTCTCAACAGTAAACTTAACAGCCTTCTGAGCATTTTAGGATATATACTGCACAGATACATTGTCTCATTCAACCCACACAGTACCCCTATGAAGAACGTGGCAGTATCAGCATTTATAGATAATTTCTAACTTCTTTAAGCCTCTCTGTCCTTAAGCCCAATGTTGTGATTAGGGGAGCTGGAATTCCATCTGAGGTCTGACTCCAAAGTTTGGGTTCCCAACCACTCCCACTCTTCTGCAGGTTCTTGATGTATTGTTAGTGTGAGAAATAGCAATAAATTGAGCTTGTTATTTTTTAAGAATTTGCTTTTGAAAGCCTTTCTTTAAAAAATTGTGTTAACTGTTTGGATTAGTAACTAGCATGCCTAATCCTCAGCTCTCTAATGACATGCAGTTTTTTTGTATTGTGAAATTAACTTCGTAAGATTTTGTATAAGGCATGTGCATCCTGGTGAAGTCTTTTAGTTGCCACCTTATGTGTGTCTTTGGCCTTTAAATCTATTTCTTGAGTGTTTTAAAAACTGGATTACTTTTCCTTGAATATTTGTAAGGAACTGAATGTTTGTTTAGATGGTGAAGCTAAATGTGCTTCACTGAATGATTGTAACTTTTTGAAAGATGGTGAAGAGCTAGACAGTATTTGGGTGGGGAGAATAATCTTTGACTTACCCGGTTGACTACTGGTTCTAGGAGGACCAGTATGACCATTTGGATGCTGCTGACATGACGAAAGTGGAAAAAAGCACGACTGAGGCCATGGAGTGGATGAATAACAAGCTGAATCTGCAGAACAAGCAGAGCCTGACCGTGGAGCCGGTTGTCAAGGCAAGAGATATAGAAGCTAAAATTAAGGTAATTTACAGCACTAAATATGTCATATTCTTTTCTTACCGGCCTTCCTATTTATTATTAATAGTCCTTAAAATGGCGTTTAGGAGGGGACTTCATGATTGTACCTTAGCTTCTGGTTTGGGGATTGGGTGAGAGAGGGTGGACTTGGTTTACTTGTCATGGAAAATTTATTTTAAAAGAAGCCACAGTTTTCTCTCTGACGATTCTAGGAGCTGACAAATATCTGTAGCCCTATAATTTCAAAGCCAAAACCCAAAGTGGAACCTCCAAAAGAGGAGCACAAAAATGCAGAGCAGAATGGACCTGTGGATGGACAAGGAGACAGCCCAGGCCCTCGGGCTGCGGAGCAGGGCGCAGACGCAGCGGTGCCTTCAGATCCAGACAAGAAGCTTCCTGAAATGGACATTGATTGATTCCAGCAATTGTTTATATTAAAACAGACTATTATAAAGCTTTAAGTTGTCAACTTTGTTCTAAATATCAACTAGAGCAATCAAATACTGGAGATTTCTTAGTCAGTTTTTAGGGGTCTTGGGGGTGGGGATCTATAGGTAATGTATGGAACATTTTGACTTCTAGATAGCTAGATACGGAAATTAAGTGCATTGTATCTTTTTCATAATGGTACTATTTAGAAGCTTAGTCAGCCTTACTGAGCTTACGTTTCACTCCTTTTATGTTTAATCATGCTTATTATACAAAGATAAGTTTGTTTTGGTAAGTTGAGTTATAGCAAAAGCTGTAACTCGCTATCAGGCAGACTTTTCGTTATGACGTGTATGGCAGGAACTCTAACTGGGCTTCAAAAATTGGTTGTGGAGATTGCCACGGACTCCCTGCCTGGTGTGGGGAGGGGGGGGTGCCCCTTATTTCTGAGGGCTGGAGTGTGGTTCGGCGTGGATTACATAGCAGCATAGAAGAGGTGTGCACTGAGTTGATCCACACCCTACTTCCTCTCCACTTCCGCCCTCTCCCCACCATCCCCAGGAAGGAGCCCCCAGTGCAGACGCCATGTGCTCTCCGGGGAAAATAGACCCTTCTGCTGGGGCATGTTGCTGACCAAGGATTCTAGACCTGGAGGCTCTCGGAGAAATTATGTCGCTGAAAGCATGTTCGCTGATAGCCTAAGCATCCAAGTCTAAGTAATTTTCTCTTTGGAAGGTTAGAATTGGGTAGATGTGTTGTCAGATGTAGGGATGGTAAATTTAATCGAGGACTTGATTTCTTGTTTATTATGGTGCAAAGATTTGTATCCCGGCCTGCTTATTCAGGTGAGAGATGTGTAAATTTGAGGTATAGCTTCAAGTCTTAGGACAAATAGTTAAACATTCTTTGTAGCTCATTCACAGTCACTTGTGTGTTAAGTGTTAATATCTGTCATGAACCGGCCAATTTGTATGTGATAAACAAGTGACAGATCATACAAAAAATTTAAGAGACTGGATTGTACTGGATGAGTCTGAAATTAGTGTTACAGACGGGTGGTGCCTGACTTCAGCAACACCTCATTTCTGACTGTGCAGACGGCATCGGGAGCTGCAGAGCATTCCCTGTGACTGTCCTTTGGGGTGGTGTCGATAGGAATGAGGCATTTTGGAAACCCCAAGGGAAGCTGTGTCAGAGGGCAGAGCTGGTACCCGCCTTAGAAACTCACAAGCTTTGTTGGTTACATTTTGGATCTTCATAGAAATCCTTCCTCTGTATAACAGAGTGCCTCTGTTCATGTTGGCTTATGTTAGAAATGAGATTACACTTTGCATATTTACAGTAAGTCTTTGTCCATATCTTCACTAAAAATTTTTAGTGTTGGGAGCTATAAAGTGCTACAGAGAAACTGCTTAGAGAGAGCGACGGTGGAAGTGTATTTATGTTGGTGTGGGAGCTTCAGGCAAGCCAGGATGTGGCCCTACTCTTCGAGCACCTCTATCCACTCTCTGCCTGTCCTGCTTCAAGAGTGCCAGCTGGCCTGCTGGGAGGGCAATGGCTACTTCGCAGTGTTGGCTGCAGGATGAAGCAAATTCTTATGCAACTGACTCAGTCCTTAATGGCCATTTCTTCTAAAACAACTTTTGTGTGTGGGGGGGAGGGTATGGGTGATGGGATGGGGGTGAATTTGAAGTTTAAACTAGAAGTAAAATGATGTGGTCTACTTGCTCTCTGTTTATTCAGGCTTAAGACCAATTGGATGTACATAGACACCCCAGAGAGAGTGTGATAATGACTTGTGTGCAAACAAGTATGTATCCAGGTTGCGTTATCCGAATTGGTTTGTTAAAGCTCCAGGCCACATTCTTACACTAAAAAACATTCAGTAAACATGAGACAAGTTTAGGAAAAATTAATAAAAGAAACCTGTCTTAAACACTCAATGTTTTCCTTAATTTCATGACAAAGGGTGGTGTGTGTGTGTACGTATGTATGTATGTATGTGCTGTAAATACTTTTCTTCAGAGGTGAGAGCCCTCTTAGCTGAGTTGCAGTTAACTTTTTTTTATTAAAGTATCATTGATACACAATCTTGTGAAGGTTTTATATGAACAACATGTGGTTTCAACGTTCCCCCATATTATCAAGACCCCCGCATCAGCCCCTGTTGTATTACGGTCTTACCAGCGCAGTAAGAGTTGCGGTTAACTTGTCAGAGACCTCCACTCTCAAGAACAGTTGAGGCAGAGCACATTGGGTGGCTGGAAGTTGCTTTTTTGTACTCGGCATATCCCACGTTGAGTCTTGGCCCAGTTCTCTGGCGTTGGAATTCTTACCTTGTTGCTGTGAGTGGGTCTTAGTAGCAGTAGGTGGGCTGTGGCCCCATCAAGGGCCAGTGCCAGGACTGATACCTGCCTCTTTAAAAGCCGGCATGGCCCAGAATGTGCTAGTGACAGTTACCACTGGATGTGTGGTGTGAGTGTGTGTGGTTGTACTTGAGGGGTGGTGAGGAGTGTTGACCCAAAGGGGTTGAAGCCATCAGAAGAGACTTAACTGCACAAGGTGTGGAAGCCTATATGGGAAGGGCTCCAGGGCGCTACTTGCTGGAGTTCTGCAGACCTGGTGCTTGTGCTAGAAGGATCTTACCTGCCAGGACCTACTAACCGCCTGTGCCAGCCACCTTTGGGAACACATTCCTAGTAAGGCTGGCTTTCTCCTGGTCCTCTGACTTTGGGAGGTGAGTGGGCAGCCTGGGACCAGTCAGCAATCATGCAGAGCACAGCCATTTCACAAGGGTGTTGGGGTCATGTGGAAAGATCCCCATTCACCCAGGAGAGGTACCAGTGTCCTTGCATGTCATGGGAAGAGTGTAGAGGCGAGGCCAGGGCAGGTGTGGAAGTCGTGTGATGCGGCAGTTTCAGTTTAATGTGAACTCAGAGCTGCCACGGGGTGGGTGGTGAGCGTTCACGCAGAGGGGTAGACCAGTGGTCTTGGAGGTGCTGTTCAGGCATCTCAGGTGGTATTTGCAGGGGAGCTGTCAGGTGGTGGTGCTGAGAGGGGTTCCGGTGTGGAGCACTGGGGGCGACAGACTCTAGCTTGAGAGGAACAGCGTGTTAGGGATGTTTCTGTGGTGTGTGCAGAATGAATTGGGCCTGGGGGAAGTCGAAGGTAGTGGGACTGACGTTTCAGGAAGAGGAGGGACTCAGAAGTGGCCAAGGAAACCTTGCTGTTGGAAGTTGGGGAGGAAGTTAACCTTCGGGGAAATGACAAGGTTTCAGAGGCCTGATGTTTTGCCTTTTGATCTGGCTTTTGTTAATAAACTTCTGTACACATGTCATTGAGTCATTTTTCTTTTAAGTAGTTTTAGCAGATTATATTTTCACATGAGACATGTATGTTTGGAAAGAACAATAAATGTGTGCATAAAAACGAAAAATAGATTCTTCATGACATGGTTTCCTCTCAAGGTGGAAATATTGGGTAATTTTTGTTTCTAAATTTTTGCTTGTTTGTAGTAAGACTTCTGTAGTAAGCATTTTGGAATTTTATGTTAAAAATTGTTAGAAGTGTCTATTAAAGAATGGCTCCAAGATTCCAAGCCTGGAGTAAAAGACATGATAGACAGTTGGGGCTTCAAGTTCCTAGGAGTCGGTGGAGATGGTGGTGTGAGTCTGGCTGAGGAAGTTGTGGCAGGTGGAGCTGAGACGTCTTGAAGCCACCGTTGGGTGTGGCAGGAAGCTTTAGGGCTTGGGGTGTGTTCTGGTTTAGGGAACGAAGGGCTGCTTGGGTGCGTCAGGAAGAGCAAGTGGAAGCTTTGAAGGAAACAGGTTGCTGCCAGAGAGGAACGGTGACGACTGAGGCCTGTGAGGGAAGAGGGTGACGTGGAAAGGGAGGTGGCAGTGGCCAGCAGGTTTGATGTTCAAGCAGCCCTTCGGGTGGTGTGAGCTGGGCTGTAAGGGGCGTGTGGCAAGGCTGCGGGTGGGGAGTTCTTGGTCCAGAAGCTTGGCTGACTTGAAGTGAGGGAGGCCTCAGCTTGGGGAAGAAGGCAGTTAGGCAGCACCCTGGGCCCCTGTCCTGTGTGCACATGGCATTCGTGCTGGTCACCCAGAGGCCACGGCGTCTTGGAGTTGCCAGCGCAGTTCTCCCCAGGTTAATTCCCCCGTGCTGCTGGCTGCAGCAGCCTGGGACGTGACCCTCAATCTCTTATCCTCTGTGAGGGGGCTGCTGCTATTTGGGGCCGGAGATGGAAAGGGGACCTCGTAAGCAGCAGGTTAGGAGGCATGATGGAAAAATGGCAACGTTGAGGGAGGAGGAACACAGGACGACAGGAGGGAGTGACCTGATGGGGAGTCAGGCAGGGGGAGACCTCCGAGGATGTGAAAAAGATGCAGAATACTTCCCAGGTGTATCCAGTGTCCATGGCCAAGCCCCAGGCTGAGGCTGACTTTGTCACATGCTAGGAGGACAGGGAGAAAAAGAGGGAATATTTCCTTTAACTTCTCAGTGGAATTTGCCGGGGCAAGGAAAATGCAGGAAAAAACAGCTGTGTATGGGGCCTTACTCATTGGCTGTGCCTAGGGGTTACCTCCCCTGAAGACCAGATGGACACTGAGATTTGGAGCCCTGGATCAATGGAGAGGGCACTTAAAACACCACAGCTTAGCAGGCCCACCACAAACTAGCCAGCCCTTGGCCCCCCACATACATTGTTCTTTCTACATGCACTTTAAAAATGTAAAATTCATTGGTCTGCCATTCAGTTAAGACTCAGCTAATGCTTGCAAGGAGAGAAAGTGGGAAACACTTGGAAAACTGTATCAACAGCTCAGCTTCCAAGATGTAAGCGCCCACAAAGCACTTCTGCGGATAAGCTGGACCAGCAGGTGATCCAGAAAGGGAGAAGGTGCCTGCCTTTCAGCAACGCCCGTGGGGAGGCTTCTAGGACCAGCGTGAGATGCCTCGAGGTCCAGGAGGGCTGCGGGCATAGGACTCAGGAAACGAGAGGGCCCGTGCAGTAGGAAAGGAAGCCCAGGCTGGGTGTGGGGCCTTCCTGTCTATTCTACATCCTACAGCTGAAGGATGGACTCTGCCCTGTTCACAGCTACCTGCTTGCAGCCAGCGTGAAGCATGACTGTAGCCGGCACTCGGTGAGTACTTGACTACAGAAGTGCAATATTTTCAGTGAGGGAAAAGCTCCTGAACATTTTAAGTAGAAATATCAACCCTCCACTCTTGGATGAGGAAAGGGCCAAAGCAGGTGCAGCTCACGGAGCAGGGGAATGGCAGAGCCAGAATCCTAAAGCTGGCTGTTCTAAAGAATGTTAATTTTTCCGGAAGTTGTGTGGCTAGGATATGGGGCTTTTGCTCTCCAAAAAACACACTGAATAAGCACTGTCTGGAGTAGCACCGGTTCCCTGCGAACGACGGCCCTCCAGCCAGTTCAGGTTTGGCCTGTGTGAGTGGCAGTGTTGAAGCTGCCACACGAGGGCGGCATTGCTCTTTGCCTTGGGTCAGAATCGGTAAAATCCACTCCGTGAGGACTCGGCTTGGAGGGTCCAGATGGCCCGCTTCTCCTGCAGGGTAGCTAAAGGCAAAACAGATGTGGGCTGATAGGCCTCAGGCTAGGAAGCAGGGGTTCCTCCGTGGCCTTTGCTCCTAACCTCTTAAGTCCTTATTACTCAGAGTGTGGTATCACTTGTCCTAAAAGAATATTGGACTGCCCCCAATCTGGGGTAAGTACCCAGCTGGGTGCTGCTCAAACCCAGCGGGGATCTTCCTGAAAGGTGGGTTCTGACTCAGTAGGTCAGAACGGGGCTTGAGAGTCTACAGCTGTAATGACCTTCCAGGTGATGCTGAACAGGATGGCATTTGGACTTGGAGAGGCTTAACCTCTAGGAGCCTCAGTTTCTTCATTCGTAAAACTGATCCCACCAGTCCTGCCCATCACATGAGATGATGGATGTG